CAATGTATATTTAAAAAAAGAACGCAAGTAAATCTAACGCCAACCGAGAAATATTCAAAGCGGTTGTTCTGTAGCAATGCAAAAGCAATTACACATTAACACAAGTAAGTAAGTAGAGAAATTACGCGTGTGTGAGTATTACAGGTCTGTGTGCAACCGGACTAAACCAGAATGCTCTACTTGTTTTTAATCAAGACATTTATTATCTGTTGATTTTTCCCGTTTCTGTGGTAATAAATCTAATCGAATAAGGAGACATTGGCCGTTATTTCTTTTTGTCGTTCTGATTTTAGATAACATACTTATCTAGCTTGAGAAGGAGTCAGCTGAGATGTTCAGAACTGTTCTGACATATAACAATCACTACATAGTATGAAACAAAGTCGGTTTCTCTGTCCCTATATCGCTATGTATTGCTTCAATCTTTAAAACTACGCAATGGATTTTGACGCGGTTTTTTTATGGATAGAGTAATCAAAGACGAAGTTTGCTATATGTAATAACATCCATTAAATAGTGGAGACATTTAGTATCAGTATTACCCTTGGAAAGGCGGGGACGGTCGCTAGTACTCTATAAAAGAGGCACACTTGCGGTAATGATCTTTTCCTTTTGTAATAGGGGCAAAAGACTGAATGTATTGTAAAAAAAAAATGTTGCGATAATACGTTTAAAGTTCCAAAACAGTTCCAATTTACGCTAAAAAAGGCTTTTTACCATTGCCCTAACAATAATATTGCAAATAAAACATTATACTTTAGAGCACTCGTACAAATACAAATTGACAATCAAATCTAAGCGAAGAATGGTCACGTAAACGTCGCACGCGCAGCGCAACAAACATTAATTTTTAATATTCCTTTTCCGCACTACCAACACCAGAAAATTGTTTATAAAGTGCGTGAACATGGTATTATTTATGTAATTATATCAGTAAGAAGTAGTTACATTACATCCTGTATATAATTAGCATTAAATACCTAATTAAAGTAGATAATGGCCTGAAGCACCTATGTTTTCAACATTAGGTCTCACACTGTACTTATCTAGGTAATTGGGTAAAACTTATTTTAGAAATGAGTCTTAGTACCTATTAATATGAAAGAAAAATCACCAATAGATACCAGGATACTAAGTAATGTTGGGGGCACATAATAGGTATCTATGTATGTTTTTACAAATTTATCATACTCTAAAAACATTAAACGTAGCAAGGAGGTTTGTTAAGAAAAAATATAAATACTTATCGACTTTGAATCAAGCTACATTTATAAATACTTTTTTTGAGTGTGTAAACACCGTTGTCCTTATTTAAAATCAAATATAGAACGTGTACTCAAAAATGCCCGTTAAGTATGTTAGCACTCAATCACAAAATATTTAAACCAGCTACTAAATTCCGATGCATACATAATTGCATGCTACTAATGAAATATCAATGTAAGCCACATTTAATGTAAATGTATAGTTTAATATTTTAAAGCCGTTCGAATTTAGTTAATTAAATTGTGTCAGAATATTGGATAGGTAGTTCATAAACGTACTTATTTCATTCTTGCTGTACGCGTAGCCTGCGGCTTCGCCCACGTGGTAAAGCGGAGTAGTTCTTTTCATTGCCAATAGATGGCGATATGTTACACGTTGGTTTTTTTATTTCAATGTTATAATGCGTAGGTACTGCATTTGAGACATTTATTTAAACTACCCTAACAGTTTTGATGGTTGGAAAAGAAGGCTTATTGCTTCCACCTTATGGTATAAAATTAAATTCTATGTTCAGTATTCTATGGAGATGGGCCGGTCTAGAATTACGTAGGGCATCGATAGTAGTGTTTTTTTTCTATGGTACTTTCCTGTTTCTATACTCCTCAACGTCTTGCATGGCTACCATGCATGTCCAGAATACTTATTAAAAATACTTATTCATAATGAATTCAGCGTAAAACAACGTAACTATCAACAAATACAAAACATAACTGAAACGACCTGTTTTCTTGGAACCATATTATTTTAATTCTACTGTCATTTATACTCGATTCACATTTAATTAGTACGTATGTTAATTAATTTGATGACGAATGCCCCACGTGGGTCTATCACGCGAATATTATCGTTTTTAACACAAAAAGCTGTAAAAACAGATGCTATCAACCGGGGTAATGTCCTTTATTACACATAATTATGCACCGAATGAACAACTGATGATATGCTTGGGGAAATACATTTGATATCAGACAATAGTGTATGAAAAGTTTTATTGAATGAAATCCAAGAAATTTTATTTTTTATAATTATCGGAAGTAATTGTCCAACGGTTGATGCGTACGCGCAGCGTACAATTGCGGTGATGATAAACGTGAATAGTATAAGAAGGTATTGTTAGGAATTACTTTGTTCTATTTAAGTAGTCGTTTTTATTAAAGTCAGTTCTTCTTTGTACTGGATGCCCTACAATATGATTGAGTTATACCTCTCATGCCCACATATTTTATATATAATACTCACTATTCTCACGCGGTTTCACCCACTGCTACAGATTCTGGCGTGATGTTCTATAGCAAAACTCGTCAGCTTTATAATATTAGTATAGAATCAGATGAAAAAATATATATTTGAATTTAGAATACGAAAATAAGGAACTGCTATTTTTTATTTCCATGTCGCGTCAGTTTTGAAATGTTGTCTATTGGCACTGGTCAGTTCTAAACTCTCTAAATATATACAAATGTACATTGTCATTGAGGTTAGAAATTTTCTTTATAATATGATTGTTTGGTTGCATGTTAATAACACTTCTCACATGATAGAACTGGATGATTATGAACTATCACCATTATCATAACGATATGACTTATATTATGATAATGAAGTTTTCAATTCAAAATCTGTAAGTTTGAATTGGCTATCCGGAAATTGTGTAATACTCCGTAATATATTACCTATGAAGAACTAATAAGGTTTATTTTAAGTTGTCAATTTAAACGTGGTCACCTAATTATCTCATACTCAACTAAAGATTGCGATACACGTAAGTGACCTTAATAGACCGAGTTATCTAGAATTCTAGATTATTATCTAGTTGATCTGCTACTAAGATATCAGTAGCTAATGTGTGTCGTTTTTAATACATATATATAATGTATAATATTTCAACATACTTTACGTCATTTTTCAAGGGTGTCTCTGTGAACTGGGGAAGTTGCGATTTCTCATTTTTGTTAATTTATTTTATTACATGATTCATAGTAGTGAAAATCGTCCATGGACATCTTCCGCTCTGTGTGAAGCGAGAGGGAGTGTCAGACTCTTACTGACTAACAAACATCCCGTTTCTTTACTTACTCTCGACCAAGGCCGCGGTACTTTATTCCGCTTTTCAAAGGCAAAAGTCAAAGTCAAAATCTTTTTTTTCAAATAGACCACAATAGGCACTTTTGAACGTCAATTGCATCTCCAACTCTGGCTGAAAAGTTGTGTGTAGTACCTGCTTGAAAAGGCAAGGTTATTGTTTGTGACGGAGAAAATAGATTAATTAAAGATGACTAACATGACTTATTGTTTTTTTATGTTATAGGTCGGCAAATGAGCAGACGGACTACCTGATGGTAAGCAATCACCGCCGCCCATGGACACTCGCAACGGAGGAGTTGCGAGTGCATTGCCGACCCTTTAGGGATTTGGAGATTTAGGGATTGAGGAGGAATTTGGGTGTGGGGAAGGATTGGGCGTCCAGTCAATCACTCCGGTCGAGCCGACCCATTCGTGCCGAAGCATGGCTCTCCCACACTTAGACTTGTTGTTACTAACACTTATTTAACTAATTTTAGATCAAAACCACAAAAAGCGTGATTTAATAATTGAAATTATTATTTACGTAAATAAAATACAATTATTATTTATTATTATATATTAGATAGGTATTCTTACTTTTTATGTAAATAAATACCTATAATTGTAATTTAATTATTTACCTGTTTAGCGGTAAAACTTGTTTATATTTAAATTAAGTTTGTGTATTAATTAATCATAATTGGTTTCGCATTCTTGATTCGTCACTACCTACTTTACATGTATTAAGGAAAGCAGAAGAATTGGACTTGGGGAATACCTTTAAGGATAAAATTGGTATGTAGTCATAGGCCAATAGGTCAATCTTTTTAATAAGGAAACCTATTTAAAATATGTATAATAGATTTACTATAGTATATTTATGTATTACAGTAGTCTAGAAGAATATAATTATGTTCCAATCGAGGAATAATTTATTAACCTACGTACAATAAGAGAAATACGCAACACGCAACATGTAAAAACCCCAATGCATTCAAAACTCAAAACATCAAATTCCAATTTTGATAGCAAAGCCATTAAAATAATGAAAAGTCATCACTAATTAGGGATGAAAAAACTCCCCCACGACCGACAGACAACAAAACGTTGATTAGTAATCCACTCGCACGCACAAGATCCGCGCTCTGTGGCGTCACAGTGTAATTACATTCATTGTCACATAATTACCGCTAACACTTGTCGGTGCACCCACGCTAAAACACATTATCTGCACTCCACATTAACTTAATCCCCTACGTCATAAGGACGCAAATACAACTGCCCGATCGCACGCCAACATTGCTGATCCACATCAAACACTGTTAGACTTAGACAATTACTATGTAATTGATTTCAAAAATCAATTTTATTGTCATAATTGTTGATAATATTCGTTGAAACGTATTTATCTATTTTAGATCAGTCGGCGTGCTAGAATTATTTTTTTAGTAGTTTTATAGTTTCCTATGTATATAAATCGATAGTTTTAGTGTAGTAAACAAACCGGTGGAAACAAAGTTGAACGTAGGCAAACTCATTAATTAGTACTCCGGTATTTAAAACTAGTCGGGCATCACTGTAACGTACACGCGTACTAATTACACACTCGTAAAAGATCGAACACATTTTCCCGTTCCACAGAGCTAAAAATGGACTAGAACTAAACTCACCTGTTGATGCTGTTCATGGCTGCCGATCCGGAGTTTTCTCTGTCGTTCCTTTCTCTAGATCCCCCTCCGAATCTATCAGCGAAGTTTTCTCTCTCTTTATAGTGTCTGTCAGGACGAGGAGACGAAGATCGCCTGCCTTGCATTTGCTGTGGCATACTGTTCTGCTGAACCGTTTGTAGAAGGTTATGGTTTCCTTGAGGCTGTTGTTGCTGTTGCTGCTGCTGTTGCAACGCCTGAAGCAGTTCTTGGGCATTGGCCGCGCCATTAGACAAGAAGTTTGGCAGTCCAGGGTTTAGCAGCGCGTTCGATAATGTTGGGTTCAGCATGTTTGGCCGAATGTTGGGCGTCTGTTGGGGGTTGGAGTTCAACAGCTGGTGAGGTTGGGCCATAGCTTGGAGGTTGGCGAGTGACGTGGACACTACTTGGCCGTTGTTTAGAGCCAGGTTCACCATTTGGTCGTTCGAGTTCACGTGGTTGACTGGTATTGTTAGGATCGTCTGAGTCGCAATGCCTGTGCAAAGAAAAACAAAATATAAGACACTTCAAATCATTATCATAACTTGGGAAAATTCAATATCCTGAAGATTATTTGTTCCTAAAACTGAAATTGTGTAAGCTACCGGATAATATTTGGACTACAACAATTATCTAACTACTAGGTAATACTGAAGATATAAAAACTCGTTATTTTTTATCCAGACTTACACATGTTTGAGTCTATATCAAATTACTTTCGACACGGATTTACCACGTCCTTCAGACATTGAACTTTTAATTAAGCGTCACATTTCTGGTTGTATTATTATAAATTTCATTGTTTTTGATATTAATAAATCGAAGTTCGATATGATGCATTACATATATAATGTTAAACAAAGCTATTTAAAAATAAGGATATACAAATGTCGAAAATTAGTAAAAAATAGTCTCAACACTAGATCTTAAGAGTGAAGGCTTTTTTGTTTTGAAGAAGGTAAATCATCAAATGATTTCTTTCGCCAAAAGTAAGTCGAAAGGGAGTGTCAGAGTCTTACTGGCCAAAAACTCTTTCCTTATCAGGCTCTAGGCCGAGGCCGCGGTGTCTTATTGCGCTTGACCCTCGATTCTGGCTGAACATTGGCCCTATTGTGGTCTGTGGTGGATGAAGAGTACAGGTCCGGGATTCGTGAGTACTATTTATTTTTTCGCGTCTATTCTAAAAAGGTTGTGTGTCATATTATAGGTATTATTTTAATCTAATGCTATTTCTTACCTTGTGAGGTCGGTATGAGCAGCTGGGCTCCTTGGATTCCCTGCACCAGCTGACCGGAGGCAAGAATAAGCTGCGGCATTGGGGACGGCATCGCAGGCGGTAGCATATTGTTGTTTGCCACGGGATTTGGTGATCCCATACCTTTTGGAAGAAGAAAAGGAACATGATCAGAAGATTTGTTTTTTTTATATTAGGTATTGTAAGTTAGACTTGCTTGTGGAGTTGTATAATGACATTTTGAGCAAGAACTTTTGAGTTGAGTAAACACTAGATTTTTGGATTTTAACTTTTTTTCAGCAGTAGCTAGCATACTGTATAGATCGTTTTCGATTATGAGAATAAAATCAAAGGAGTATTTATATCCAATAGTGTTAGAAAACTATATGTAAGTTCGTAAAAGCTGGATTCTCACTACACACTCGTCTCGTGGTATAACTCCAAGTCGCTATCTCTGTTCCCATATCCTTATGTATGAATAAATCTTTAAAACTACGCATCGGATTTTGATGTGGTATTTTTAAAAGATAGAGTGATTAAAGAGGTACACTTATATCTATATTAACATCAATTAAATAGCGGAAAAATTTAGTATCAGCATTGCATTCGTGCAAAGCTAGGACGGGTCGCTGAGATTTTATGTACTTATAAAAGAATAGGTAAGTACTATTTAATTTCAATCTCAGAGTATTAATTACTATTTTAGACCTAGTCGTCGATCTAATTCCTTTCATATAAAATTCAATGTTATAAGTAACAATACATAATAAACCTTTTCGTAGGTACCAATAAAGTGCTTTTCGCAAAAAACTGAACGAAGCAAATAGTTTTTGAAACGTGTAACTTTTTTATGTTATTAAGATAACACATTAATTGTAATTAACAAATTATCCGTATCGATGTACCCACAAGATTTAGTCACGTGTTATTTAACATAAAATAAATCTTAACATTAATGTTCATTTTAAAGTTTTACTGGGTATATAACCCTAGAAAAAATACCGTCATAATGCGCGTTGCTAATTTATCACGATGTTTTATAAGAACACCTAAACCTACGCGAATTAATACCAAATCAATCGATCGAACATCAAACAATCACCTAATGTTTTTCAACTTATAATAAAAATTGGATTTGGCAAATAAAACATATGTGATTATCGATGACTAAATGTTAACACGTTGGTCATGGTAACTCTGGGTGACGAAACCGCGTGCAACACGGCTCGATCGACGACTTTCTACTTAAGTAATTAAACAATAAAATGAAATATCGTAATTGTAATTACTTATAACCCGTCGCGGCCGCCCCAAATGCACCTCACCACACCGAAACCAAAGTAACGATAGAAAATTACCCAAAACCCATATGCACCCGACCAAAACTAATTCACTGCGGACAAAACGGTTCTGAAGAAAATCTAAAATATTATCTGCATACCTTACAAGCCCGTTAAACTCGACATTAACATAACGTATTCATTTAAACCATGACATTTCACATTTTGTAATAAATGTTCTTTCCTAAGGCGCATCAATTAAGAACCGAAAAAAATGTATAATTAGCTCTATTAAGACAATAAAACTCTTAATGATACCGCAACAGTCGTAATATCCGTGCGTTCGTGAAAAAAATATGTAATTATACTCATTATTTAAATATGTTTTTTCGTCCATTACCGCATAGCTTTAATGGGCGGGCGAGTGAAGCCGCTATCTTGAATTCATTATATCGATTGGATTCGGTAATCACCTAATTACCGCTCACGTGATTTCGAAGTTAAGAGTTTTAATGCGCGAACCGTGTATTTCTGATTATCCCAATCTGTCTAATTCAGTCTAATTAGTGGCATACCCTCCGTTGAAGAATACCAGACGTTTTGAAATGCTAATGTACTGAAAAATGGTAATTAAGTTAGGGAGGTGACGCTTTCAATTGCATTAAATTAGCTTAAATGGAAAAATATTTTCTGTATTCCAGTGCTGTTAGCGAGGAATATTTGCCTGTCAACGTTATTTAATCGGTTTCTGAATATTTGTTTTATCTTGATGATGATGCGAGAATGGAATCTAATTTGCTTAAAGTGGCAAAAAATGATTTACTAAAGCACTTAAATGGAAATCCGGATTTTTTGTTTGTGTTTTGTGAGGGACGGAACTGGATGATAGACGGAGTCAATGTTTAGAAAATGTTTTGGCTTTAATAAATGAAATGTGTCATACTTTTGCGTAGGTTTACATACAAAACGAAGGAGTTTATAATGATGATGCAAACAATCAATGCCATTGTTTTCTTTAGCCTCTAAAATAAGTTGCAATAAACAGAGAATGTTCGACTTGCAATTTTGCTCACTTCCAATATTTTTTCATGGAAATTCTTAATTGGTGTTTTCTAATAATAGCAAAGAACTTGCTATTACCAATAATTAAAAGTGATTAGAAGTGTCAAGTTAATTGTCACCTACCGCGGTGAACGGAAGAGATCCCATAGGTAAATGATAATTAAAATGGTGAAGGAAATATTCTAAGAGATATGAATGCCTGTTTCATAGACATACCAGTAAAAGTAACGGAAGACGGTCATTTTGACGGCCCCTAGGCGATATATTGCTATTATAACCAACCTATATTATGAACTATTTGTGTACCTAAATAAAATTTTAAAGTAGTTTTTAATCTATGGAAAATATTTTCAAATTTATAGGAAATTGAGTGTTGGAATGCCACAAGGTAGTATATTAGGGCCTTAACTGATTTTTTTTAAATGGCAAAACTTTTTGTTTGTGAATTGTTTCTTGTGTATTATAAATTTTCAAAAATCTAAACGTTGATTGGTACTTTGCTCAACTCACAAATCAATGCCAAAATTACTCTACATTGTCAATTTAATAGTCTAAATAATGATGAGAGTGACGTGTAAGAATCAAAATTTTAAAACATGTAATATGTAAGTATATAACTTTCTTACCAGGTGCGCTAACGCTCAAATTCAAAGGCGAATTGATAACAGGGTTGGAGGGCATGGACGATAAGCCTTGAAGGTTGGCAGCAAGTTGAGACATTTGTTGTGACATCTGTTGCTGTAGCTGTTGCGACATAGGTGGCATGTTCTGTTGCATATTCGCCAGGTTTTGCAGGTTTTGGAACATCGACGCCACTGTGAACAAGAAATATATGTTGATTATATGGACTCACTATACAATATGTTCTATGAACTGGGTGTTGATTTAAAGTCTTATTTTTGAAAGTTTTTTTAAGATTTTGACTACTATTCTTGGTTTAAGATACTAAAGATACTACATCTTTCTTGATGACACGGTTAATAGACTCGAGATTAAAAGTTTGCGGAATGCAAAAGTCTTCTGGTTATTCCAAGATTTTTTATTTGTTGGTGAATCAAAGTTATCGTTACAATCCAATAAGCTTCCTTAATATAGTTTTGGTTCATGTGATTGTATGATAAGACCAAAGAAAATAGACAATTTTAAATGATATATTGAATTCCGACATCAATAACTATAATTTAATTTATTATTAGCTCAACAAATGCCTTAAATATGGATTACTGTTGAAAAAGTCACAATATAAATGAGATTATTGCCTCAATGATTGCATCAATAAATCATCTTCAGAGCTTCAAGAAAAGAGCCCCTCCGGCAGGTCAGCACCACAATTGTGACTCCATTGAATTTGCGAGTGTCCATGGGTGGTGCTGATTGCTTACCATCATTTGATTTTGATCATTAGACTCCGATTTTCATAATAAGTGACTGCGACATGTTAGTTCTAGGTTTAGGATTCTTGATCACAATTTCGGAGCATTCGAACTTAAGGATACTTAAATTAGGATAAAAAGTAATAAATGAATGTAGTACGAACTCACTGGAGCCATTCAGATGTGGCTGCTGGTGCGGGGTGCGCGCGCGCGGCGAGGGCGTGCGTGGCTCAGCTAGCTGCGCACGCGCCGCGCCCCCCTCCGGCGAGCTCGCGCCGCTCTCCCGGTCTGACTCCGCCTGAGGAAGAAAGATGACTTTAGAATACAGAATTTATAAAAAATACTTTTATGCTTCGATAAAAATTCTTGATTGGATGCAGCGCGTCTCCAATCTTAATTGTTTGCCAACTTGCGTATTCACTAGTACCTATGCCAGACAGTAATTATATCAACTAGTACAAAGTATCGAAATAATTTAATTAAATATTATTTTAGATGCAATTGCACGTTTAAATAATCTTTTATTTTACTCAACTAAACTACTAAACTTTTAAACCTTAACTATCACTTGTGAAGTTAATACAAGTAATAATGTATAATTAATTTAATTCACTATAATTTTTATTGTTTTATTAAAATTTGTAAGGTTAAAATAGAAGACGATCATATAGTAATCAAATTGATTTATTTTTCCATATCGAAAATACCATTTTTCATTCTGTTTTTAAATAACATTACTATTATCAAGTACCTTAAAATATGTCAAGCTAAAGAAAAATCAAGTTATTTTTTTAAGAACATCTATTAGTTAGCGGTAAATGGCTGAAAATTGCCTAATGGCATTAGATCTGCGTCGCAAAGGACCATAGAGAAGTTACAATTTTTTGGCCAGAATTTAACAGAAACAGACAACAACCATTCGTTTTTTAAAATTTGAATTTAGCTATTTACCCTTTCATATAAGTTAAGTATCTAAATTTACTACAATACATATATAGCACGACTATCTCATCTGTCTCTATCACTAAATACTGTATTGTTTTAGTAGTAATTTTGTCCCCGCCATGCGCTACAACGACGGCTGTTTTTGACCAGGGGTAAATTCTCCCTTCTATTATCTATATCTATTAGTTCTATACACAAACGTAACTAAAAAAGATCTTATTACTAATATTATGGTCCTTTTTCCAAATATAGGCTGGTCTGGAGTTCATTTTGGGGTATAAGCGATTACGCATTAAAACATACATTGGTATTTTGTGATTCGCTGCATAGTGTTATTGTGGAGTGATATCATAATAGTCATTATCCTCGACCTATAAGCGCATAGGAAAAGTTTGGAGTTATAAACAACGAAGCGGATTGGTGACTTCAAACTTATAATCAAAAATTATAATTCCAACATTCTTCACCACATTTTAGAAAGCACATGACATATCATGTCTATACTTACTAATATTATAAAGAGGTAAAATTTGTAAGTTTGTAGGTATGTAGGGGGTAATATGTGGAACCGCTGATCGGATTTCCAAAATTCTGTCAGTTATAGGAAGCTAGTAATGTTTCTGAGTGCTATAGGCTATAAAACATCACGCTAAGATCAAATGGAGCCGAGCAGCGGCTGAAACCGCGTGAGAGATGCTAGTAAATATTATAGCTCAGAAAACATCACATTGGCACTAGCCAGGTTTGAAATCTACACCCTTATGGGGGTGCAGCGCGCGTTTAATCCTTCAGGCCAGTTTAACATACTGAGTGATAATAACAATGATAATGCGAGTGGAAGCAATAGTAATCACAGCTTTAACAGTCTCATGTTCATTATTCTGACAATAAGAGTAACTCAGAAGTCTGTGGTGGGCTCACTGAACTGATTTAGATAATCTGTCGATAAATCTTTACTAATATTATAAAGAGGTAAAATTTGTAATGTTTGTATGTACGGGGTAATATTTGAAACCGCTGGTCGGATTGCCAAAATTCTTTCACTGACAGATAGCTACAATGTTCCTGAGTGCTATAGGCTATAAAACATCACGCTACGATTAAATGGAGCCGAGCAGCGGGTGAAACCGCGGGAGAGTAGCTAGTGTAAATATAAAATTATAGTTTGTATTCTTGTATTGATATACTTCTGATTAGGTATGATTAGGTATGCAATATTTGTGTTGAATTGAAAATTGTAAGATAAGGACACGGACCACGAGTCCGTCGAAGCTAAAATTGACATTACGACATTTTAATTGGCAAATCAAGATTTTCAGAAGACTCTTAACTATCTATTATACTTAGTGGAAAATACTGATACATAAATCTAAAATAGTGGTTTTTTATAAATTTTCTTTACTAAAACTTTAGAATACTGACTTTTTCACTTCTTGTGATTTGAGGAGTGTTGGGTGTTTTGAGTTAGAAGTTTCAAATTTTATTCTTGAATTTATTTTTTTGTATTTTTTTTTCATTTTATTATTTACGTCACCTTTCTTCTATAAAAAAACTGAATTCTCATTCTGAATTGTTGTACTTTTTTATTTACTTTCCCGAATAAATGAAATTAAATAAGAATAAGTGTTAAAATATTGGACCAGCCGATTCTAGTTTAGGCTCAATGCCGAATTCTAAGTAGCCAATAGGCAAGATAGAAATATATATTTACTCAATTTCAGATTTTTAGTGCGTTATTAGAAAATTCAGTCTGTACAAATGGGTTTTTAATAACATTATTAGCTACCTAATTTTTTTAAAGAACTATGAGTCCGCTTTTCATGCATTCCAGGTGGAAATGATGCTTCTTAGATAACAGTTATGAAAGAAATAAGAAGAATTTAATTTTACTTCGTTTTGGATTTTATAGGTTTTGATTTTGTTATTTTTTATTGCAATAAAATTTACATTTGAATATGATTAAAATAAGAGTTATTTGATTTAAAAATGAGGTAAATTTACAATTGTTTGTAGTTTTAGTTTTAATTTTTCTGCGTGTTATAAAAAATATTAGTTAATAAATTTTGTTTTATGCAAAAATATGTTTCAATAGTAAATGACGACACATTTTATTCATTGTATATGTATATCAAGCTCACTTCTATAATTTTGACTATCTATTTTTGGAAATAAAATTTTTTAAGTAATGAACTAAGTTTACCATAAAAATAAATAAAAATAAACGTTTCAAATTTAGTTAATTAAAATAAAATTAATCCGATAAAACGACAATAAATGATTTCCGATGCCCACAAAAATAAACTAGAAATGTAATACGTTTGTATAAAAAGGGTCCAAAAAGAGTAACATTATAAAGAGGTTTATAGCATTAAAATAAGTACCTACACACAGGTACTGGCTTGTTATTAATATTTTAATTAAGGAAGCCATCTTTTATTCGATTCTTATATGACGCATTGTGCAGCTTGAAGTCATAAAGTATTTATATTGCAATTATTATAAGTACGGAATAAGGTCAAGCTACTTGACTTTTAATTATTATGAACTACTATTAAAATATAAGTAAGTAGTAAGGAAACGCCTTGAATAATAATTAATAATAATAATTCTTTAATTTGTAATAATTATAGTCTGTCCGTAACTGTTACCTGTACTTGGAACTTTTGTTATAAATATTCACACGTTTGAGTTGTTAAATGCTTCAGTATTTAATTGTGGACGTTGGATTGTAAATTTAAGTAAAAGGACTTGGTTTCAAATATTTGAAAGCATATTTTCACTGATAAATTATAAATGGAATTTGCGTCTTGCGACGTAATTTTTATGTTACGCGAATTGATATGTATATAAAAATAGGTATATTAAAAAATATGATATAATAAATATTTTCCTTTACTTAAATAAAATAATTGCTTAAGTTTACTAGGTACTCACGAAGGATAATGTCATTCTCTCCAGACCTAATAATTGCACTGACACTGTCTCTGACAAACAAACATTCCTTTAAAAAAACTCCGTAAAATCACTTCTTAAATAATTTACAAAAAAACTATCCGATCGCGAACTCCTTCGAAACTTGTGACAAACTTCGACGAACTTCAAACACCCGATCAAACTATGTGGCGATCGTTCTAAATTCAAAAATGTACATCCACAAACGGCTATCCGAACGCGCGAAAACTTTTCTTTACTATATAAAAGTTGTATTTAGAACGGAAAAATAGAGCATAGATAACGCCCGCGAAAAAGAAACGCCGCGCACTATCGACAAAGCGTTCACGTTTTTTTTTAATTTATTTATCAACGGCCGGTAACACATACAGCCGCGCGGCCAAGTTGCACAGCGCGGAATGAAAGCGCGTCATCAGTTTAAAAAATCAACCCCTTCGGTGGTGGGTGGAAAAAATGCGGCCCCGCGGGGCGTTGGGTGGTTCTACCGAAATCCTTGCCAAAGCGATCGGCATCGGTCCGACTTGTCACTTGTCGAATAAGCATGATAATTAAAGTTTTCGATTAGTTTTTTATTCGTGTTTCTTTATAGCTTTTAGCACGTGTTTCGTTTAAATTCGCTTTCAGTTAACTCGATCAGAATTTAATTTTTAGCGTTTGACTCGTGACCTAATATTTGTTTCTTGAGTGATTTTTTGGTTTTGTTATATTTGTATGAAACATGATAAATATTATGCCTGTAGAAATGTAGGTACAATGACTGTGTATTTTCATGATCAGTTAAATTAAATGATTTAAAATGGAAAAAATCAAAATCTTGAATGACCTTAGTAATATTACAAGACATTTTTTTAAGAGATAGTTAGATCGAAATATTTTTTCGTTCGTTTACCTATTACGCGTGCACCCGCGTATGCCATAGGGGCTTTGTGGAGCATACTGTATGTGTACATTGTTCGATACAGATGTTGTTTATTTTGAATCGGAACTTTGTAGGAACTCGCTTTTGGAAAATTGCTCTGTTCTATAAACCTACAATAGATTATATCTATAGTTACCTGAAAGCTAAGCTTTAAATATATAACGGGCAAGGAATCCAATTTAATTTCAGTTTTTGTTCTAAACACAGCGGTTATTTCAAATTGGACCGAATAAACAAATACAATTTATTTCATACATTCTATATTGGAACACATAAACATTGGGAACAAATTGAATACAAAAAGCTTAAAAGCACAATCAAAACTCCACCGGGCGCTGACTAATGAAAAAAGTTGAAAAAAAATTATCATCAACAAGTAACATTCGGAATAATCAGCGGTACACGGAAAAAATCAGTAATTATTCAGATGAAGTTGGACGAACGAAGGGGGTAAGGGGGCAAGGGCCGGCCAAAATAAAAAC